CTTAATAACATGACAGTGAAATTTCGACACCTCTTACCATTAATTCCCGCAGCTGGTTAGGGGCAGGTTAGGAGGGCCACCATTTTTATCCAGTTGGGCCTGCAAAGTTTTCAATCTTATCAAAATCCGAGAAGGGGTTGAATGGAAGACCGTATTTGTGACCACCTGTAGTTGGGACACATCCTCCAGTCCCCTTTTGTAAAAATTGGGACCAAATCCAAAAATTCTGCCAATCCAAAGGCACTGTCCCCAATGTCCAAGCAATGTTGAAGAGGTGTGTCAGCCAAGACTGCCCAACAAGTTTTTGACTACTTCAGTAACCTCAGCCCAATAGATGGGCAAGTCCCCCTCCAAGTCCTCCAGCCCAACTTCCTCCAAGGAAGGCATATCCATAGGATTCAGGAGATCCTCAAAATGCTCCTTCTACCACCTGACTATATCCCCAGTTGAGGTATACAGTTTTCCATCCGCTCCGTAAACAGCATGAGTAAAGCTCTGCTTCTCCCCCCTGAGTTACCTGATGGGTTGTCAGAAACTTTTCGAGGCCTTCCAAAAGTCCTTCTCCATAGCCTCACCAAAAGTTTTTGCCTGAGCAACCACTTTCCGCTTCGCCTGCTGATACCTATCAGCTGCTGCGAAGTGCACTTATGAACACCCTTATGTTCGAACATGATGTTCGTTATCGACATACTGTGGTTAGCACAGAAGTCCAATAACTGATCACCGCTTGGATTCCGATTGGGCAGACCATTCCTCCCAATCACACCCTTCCAGGTTTCACTGTCATGACCCATGTGAGCATTAAATTCCCCCAGCAGAACAGTGGAGTTCCCAGAAGCGGTGCCTTCCAGCACCCCCTCCAAGGTCTCCAAGTAGGTCAAGCTGGTGTTCAGCGCATATGCACAGTCAAAAGTAAGAGCCCTTCCCTCAACTCGAAGTCAAAGGGAGGTGACCCTCTTGTCCACCAGGGTAAACTGTAAACTGGTAAATCTATGCCTGGCCTCCACACCAGATCCCGGCAATGCTGCTTATGCTTCACTATGCCCAGGTGGCCCTCATGTGCCATGGCCAGCACATATGCACATAGGGTATCTGGGACCACCGTGCAAAAGCCACGTGCTACACATGAGTCATTCCAGCACGAGAGCTCCTGCCTGACACAGGAAAAGGCTAGCAGCTCCTCTGGCACTTCCTTCAGCCATCCCTGTCAAATGTAGGTGCAGAGCTGGGAGAGAACTGGGTCCTGTTCTGAGGATGCTTTTAGCTCCTGTAGGTTGACAGTGGCCTGAAGTGGAGTGTGTAGAATGTGCATGATCTCACTTTCGACATGATTCATGCTGGTGGGTAGGGCCAGGGCAGGAACTGATCGAGATAGGAGGTCCGCAACAATATTATCTCGGCCTGGTGTAAACTGCAGGGTGTAGTTATACTGCCGTAAAGATCATACCAACAGTGCAATCTCAGGGGCTTGTGGCCAGTGCCTGCAGAGGACAGCAGATACGCTCGGTGGTCCATCCTCAATGTGAAGTGGCGACCATACAGGAAAAGGTGCCATCTCTCGCATGCCCAGATGCACTCCCCAACCGAATACTGTTGCTCAGAATGCCATTCTGCACTTGTGATAGTACAGCCCCAATGGCAGTGGCTGAGGCATCACAGGTGACCACGGTGGGGCTGGATATGTCAAAGCGTGATAGCACCGGAGGCCAGGTAAGTTGTGCTTTGAGAGTCCGTACCACTTCAGCGCACTCTGGGGACCACACCCATGGCACATCCTTTCGTAGCAGCTGGCATAGAGGGGCTGTTACAGCTGAATACTGTAGCATGAACTACATATATTACCCCGCCATGCCCAGGAAGGAGGCAAGCTGAGCAGCTGAGGTGGGCTCAGGAATGGAGATGATGGCCTCTACATTGGACTGAAGGGGAGAAATGCCCTCTGCAGACACACACCTGGAGATATACCCCAACATCCTATTGGCCTTTTTTATTGCTTCCCCGCACTGGTGAAAATGAGACATGGAAGCATCAACATAATCAGCTACCTTTATTCCAGTAGGTCCCATAAAATACCTGTACTTTATATTTCTGCTCCCTACATGGAGTACCTTACATTTGTCTATGTTAAATTTAATCTGCCAGGTATCGGCCCAGTCCCTAATTAAACCAAGATCCCGCTGTAGCTGCTGAGCCGCTAGTTCAGTATCTGCTACACCACCCACCTTGGTGTCATCTGCAAATTTCACCAGTTTACTGTATATATTGGTGTCTATATCATTTATGTAAATTACGAACAATAGTGGTCCTTAAATTGAACCCTGTGGTACCCCACTATGAACGCAGGCCCACTGTGATATTGTGCCTCTTATAACTACTCGCTGCTTCCTATCTGTTAATTGTTATCTGTATTGTTTCCAGTCAGGCTTCCGCCCAGGACACAGCGCTGGAAATATTGTGCCTTAACTAAAGTTGAAAATGACATAACAATGGCAACTGATGCTGATAGCATGACTGTGTTAATGCTTCTGGACTTCAGTGCAGCTTTTGACACGATTGACCATCTTATCCTATTACAAAGACTTAAATTTGAGGTTGGGTTGTGTGGAACAATGTTAAAGTGGTTTAAATAATATTTGACTAATTGTTATCAATATCTTTATGTGTCAGATACTTGTACTCCGTCATCAATGTCACCGGTCAGATATGGAGTACCACAGGGATCAGTGCTTGGTCCTTTATTGTTTTTTTCTCTACGTTAGGAGAACATAATGAAAAAACATAATGTTAACTATCACTCCTATACTGACAACACCTAAATATACATTCAGGTTATGCCTAAAAACACCACATCTATTGTCACCTTAGCTAATTGCTTTAGCAAAGTCAAGACCTGGATGGCTGGAAACGTTTTATCATTAAACACTCAGAAAACCAAGGTTCTGTTATTTGGAGGCAGGTCTGCGGATAGGAATTTAATTATCTCTGCACTCCATTCCAAAGGGCTGAACTTTTCCCTCAGAAGCTCAGCCCATAACCTAAGTGACATCTTGGATACAAGCCTCTCATTCAAATCACATGTGGATGCAATATTGAAGCTATGCTTCCTGCAGCTATGCCGCATCACCAAACTGCGACAACTTCTTACTATTCAAGACAAACTGATACATGTATACAGTAGGTAAGATTACTGTAATGCTCTGTTATCTGGGAGCACACACTGCACATTAAATACCTTGCAGCAGCTCGAAGGAGCAGGACGTTTGAACACATAACCCCTGTTCTTAATTCCCTGCATTGGCTTCCTGTTAGGTATAGAGCTGACTTCAAAGTTCTCCTACATATGTAAAAGGAACTTAAAGGTCTAGCTCCTGCCTACCTGACAGAACTACTTCAAGTTTACAAGCTGCATCGTCCACTCAGATCACAGAATGCAGGTTTCCTTGTTGTTCCACATATAAATTAAATGACAGATGGCGGTAAAGCATTCTGCTACAGGACCCCTATATTGCGGAATGGTTCACCAGCCTATGTTCGGGATGCTGATTCGGCCTCAATCTTTAAATATCGACAGAAGACCTACAGCATTACTTCAATTTAGCTTACCTGCAACCTAACACACCGTAACTACGGCTGCTGGTGCAGTTGTACATGCCATTTTTATCTACTATGCTTGTCCATTTATGTATCAATGCATGTTCTGACCATCCATGCTTTCTGCCTTCCCACATGTCCGGGTGGTGCCTAGGGTGGGCACCCTCTTAGCTGGAGTCCCAGGATGGGGTGACATCCCAAATGGGACATACAAATTGCATCATCGTAGGTGCAGCCTTAAGTGCCACCCTACACAAGCCAGCATGGATAACAGACTCATTGATGGACTTTGTCTTGATCCTTAATCACAGCTTACACCTGGCTTTTAGCAAGCAAGTCCACTCTTTTCTGTTTTCAGTAATGTTAGTATGCCCAGGGGGGTGTGACAGCCAGTTGACCTTGGACCCCCAGAGGTTTTTTTTCCCTACTTGGGAGTTTTTGGTTCCTCTCCTCCATTGTCATCTGGATTTCTTTATTTAATTTCTTTCCTTCCTTTTTCCCATTCTGTATTTCTCTCGCTAATGATGTTGTAACGTATTACATCCATGTAAAGTGCCTTGGGACGACTGTCATGAAAGGTATTATAAATATAACGATAAATTGAATTGAACTGAAATATGATAAATATCATTGACGTTTATTTTTGGTAGCTCATGGAGGCAATAACATAATAAAAGAGTGTAATATATTTCAGGCCACAATCTCACACATACAAGAAACGGGAAGAATCAAGAAACATACAAACGGGAATGAAGGAGCCATCCAAGATGAGTTCTCGCGCTGCCCTGTGGTGAACTTAACTTTTAATTCTCCAGACTGATGTAAACTATGCGCACAGGTATGAGCAGCAGCACTGCTTGCAAGTAAGCAGTGAGTATAATCTGACCCTTAAAGAAACCTTCACTGGTGTATATATCACAGAAGATGTTCACTCCGTCCGCCTACCTAATCCTCACTTCCTATGATTATGTAAGGTTGAGATTTGTTTTCTCTCACCTCATAAAATACCACCCATACCCAGACACCCAGTCCAGATGGCAGACCCAACCTGCAGCTGTAGTGCTTCCATGACTCAATACCCAACTTTGTTTCTCTAATGTTTTTCTTAAGCCCCTCTGCACTCTTCACTGTTCCCCTACAGCTGTGTCACATGGCTCTGCGAGCTGTTCCTAGTTACACAAATATCCAAAGAGTTATACATTTTGGAGAAAGCAAGGACAGCCAGGTTCTGGAGCAACTGAGGGTTAAGGACCTTCCTCAAGGGCCCAACATTGACATCACTCTGTTGACCATAGGATTTGAACTGGCAACCTTCCAGTCATGGATACAGAGACCAAACCAACAGAGCCACACACCATCCATAAAGTGCTCAATAAATACTACTTGTATTAGTGAACCAATGGACTCACCATGCTGCACGGTCGTATTCCCCCCATATGCGCACAAACTCATCCAGATGATGAGGGCCCAGGATGGAGGAATCTCGTGTCAGATACTCAAAGTTATCCATAATCACGGCAACGAACAGGTTCAGCATCTGCAAAACACATCAAGGAGACACTGGGGAGCACGACACACATATAATTCTGTCATATAACACGTATGTTTGTCATATGATTTTCATATAACACGTATGCTCATGCTTGAATTCTTTCTGCATACTCACTAGGAAAGAGCTGAAAAAGATGAAGGAAACAAAATAGAAATAAGCGAACTCAGTGCCGCAGCCACCCTCGTGGTCTGGGGACGTGAAAGGGGGGGCAATAGTGGGGTCTGGCTCACACTCCTGCCCCCCTAAACAGGACAGCATGATCTCTTGCCAGGACTCTCCTGTGGCACTTCTAAAAACACAAAAAGGAATATCAGCAATCAAAGAAAAGGTTATATCAGTTAACATAATAAATCTTATATCTACATGCACAGTATGTTAATGATTTTTTTTTTTACTTTGAAATCCCAGTCATATCTAAAAATATAACCTAATCATATAAACATAGTAATACTTAAATTTTAGTAAGATCATCCAGCCTGTATATGTATATGTGTGTGTATGTATGTATATATATGTATACATATATATATTCAGCAGCTGTTCATCCATATGCCTAGCATTGTGTATATGTTTTTTTCTTTATATTTTTACTTATATATTTATACAGTTTTAGAAATTGTTTTCTATTGTTTTTATTGTCTATATTGTTCTTATATTGTTATTTTTGCTGATCCTATGGATCCTGTTATACTGTCTTTTTAATTATTGCTGCTGTTTCTAAGGAATTTCCCCATTGTGGGATTAATAAAGTCAATCTAATCTAATCTAATCTAATCTAATCAAAAAACAATGCTTTTGGAATGAACTAAATGGGATGACATTTATATTACCAGTTTTGTCATAATATATTGCTGCATTTACACATAGCATACATTTTGTGATTCAAACTCTTCCTGGTGTGAACCCGCAGAAAAATTTACCTGAACAACAGCATTAGGGCACTGAAGAAACTCTTGAAGTTGTTGTGCTGGTTAATGTGAGTTTCGTCATTCAGCTTAATGTTCCCAAACACCTAATAAGCAGTTAGAAAATGTCTAGTTACTTTAAAAAAAAAAAAAAAAAAAATTAAGCAATGTAAGCCATTAGCTAATGGAACATTGGGATGTGCTATGACAGCTGATGGAAATACTGATTGCACTCACACATTAAGGTCAAATTAATTCAGTTGGAACTATATACCATTTCGGTCTGAAAATTAGACAACCCTGATTACAAGATGACTCCCACTTTTTGAGCAACTATTTTTGAAAAAAGGTTTTTGGAGTACCAAATCTTATCTTTATAAAACAAAAGCATTTTATCTATCAAGAACACAAAAATAAGAGCAGTGCAGTGGTGCAGTGGTTAGCACTACTGCCTCACAGCATGATGTTTCTGCGTTCAACCGTGGGTCCTTTCTGTGTGGGTTTTTGCTGGTTTCCTCTCACAGTCCAAAAGTGTGCAGGGTAGGCTGATTGGCATGTCTAAATTGGCCCTGTAGTCGTGTGAGTGTGTGCACCCCTCGGTGTGTTGACACCAGCCCAGGGGTTGGTTTCCGCCTGCGCCCATTGTTCCCGGGATAGGCTCTGGGCCCCCTGCGACCCCAGTGGGGAATAAGTGGTCTCGGTACAATTACAATATGTGTGATAAACAGCAAACATTCAAATTAACAAATGTATTATTTAGGGGAGAGGAAGGATAGTCAATATTACGTATTCCACAACACCAGGGCGCAGAATGTTCTTGATGAAGCAGACCAACATAAAGAGTGCATTTTGTGGCAAGTGGTTGAGACAGCTCTTCTAAAATGAAAGTTGCTCTCTTTATTATCAGCTACTAAAGCACAGACAGAGAAGCCAGAAATTTACACTACACTCATGGTTACATGATAATGAAACACATTTCATGACAAAAGTTACACTGTTATGACATTTACCATTGACATAAATACATGAATACATGTATTAATTTACACTATTTCAAGTTACATGTGGTGCAAAGAATGCTGGTAACCACATAATTAGTCCTGCTGACCAACCCCGAGGCATCAAATTATGTCAGTCAATTGTAGACAGAGGATGGGATCACAAAAAACTAAAAAGTTCACCTTGGGGATGGACTCTATACAAGCGATGTTAAAACAATTTTGATTTTGTCGATAAGGTGTTGTGAGAGAATAATCCAAATACCCAAATGTAATACAAAAGTAGTGAATGTTATGTACATGTATAATCTCCTAGCAATAGAAGAATGCACTAGGCCAGTAGGAACCATGTGTTCAAGGTCAGATGATAGCATCAGGCCCTAGTCAAGAAATAGCGAGCACTGAAACACCAGAACAAACCATATATGGAAACACACAGTAGAACTCAAGGTACAGTAACTAAACAAAGGATAAAAAGAACTGTAAGAAGAGGCTCGGCAGAGAACTCTTGAGGTATCTTCCCAGGCCTGTGCTGTAAGATACCACAATAAACTGAAGGCTGAAAAGACTTTTCGTTGTCCTGAGTCCTACATCGCAAAATTTCCACAACAGAGTGAAGTATACGGCTGCCTTTAGCCAGGAGGCAGATAATTTATGCCATCTATTGTTGCATGTACATAATGACATTCAAATTCTATTCCTTGAATATAAGACAACCACAGATTTTAGATGTAAATTTTGGAAAAAAAAAACACCATCTTATATCTGGGCCAAAATGGTAATATCCATGCATCCATCCATCCATCAATTCATCTGGGCCCAGGTTGCAGGGGCAGCAGTCTGAACATAGTTGCCCTGATCTCCTTCTCACCAGCTACCTCCTCCAGCTCCTCTTGGAATACTGATGTGTTCCCAGGCCAGGTAAGATATATAATCTCTCCAGCATTTCCTGGTTCTGCCCCGGGGTCTCCTTCCGATTGGTGTTGCCCAAAGCACCTTACCAGGGAGCCAGATGCCTGAACCTCTACTCTGTGCCCCTTCAGAATGGCTGAGTTCCTCAGCTCAATTCTAACACAATTCAAAAATGCAGTCCTGACGTCACTGAACTGGACACCCTCTACCCCATAGCTGTAGCTAGAAGTTCTTTCCATTAAGGGTAGGAACAGAATTGATAACAAAGGGCAGCCCTGCTGAAATCCAACACCCACCACAGTGTCTGACTGGTGGCCAGCAATGCAATCCAAACTCTCTGGTTATAATGGAATAGAATAGTCTAGAGCAGCGAGCCCAGTACCCCATATTTCCAAAGCACCCCCCACAGGACAGGGTAATCTGCCTTTTCCAAGTGCACAAAACACATGTAGACTAGTTGGGCAAACTTCCATGAACCCTCCAGTATTCTTGTGAGGGTGAAGAATTTCTAGAACACATCCTCCAGACACAATTCTTAAGAATTGGGACCATCATCCCAGTCTGCCAAAGCAAAGACATTTTTGAAGAGTCATGTCAGCTAAGACAGTCCAATATTCAAAGCTTTCAGGAACTAAGGGTGAACTGAGGGTAATCCACCTCTGGATTTTAACTACTGAAGAAGTTTTTGACTCAGTGACCTCAGCTGTTTTCCTCTAAGTCCTCCTACTCTACATCTCCAAGGAAGGAATTTCAGTGGGATTCTGGAGGTCCTCAAAGTGTTCTTTCCACCGTCCAAAGTTGCCAGCAACACCACTCCATCCTTCCTTTTCCTGAGATACCTGATGGTATTACAGAATTAATTCAAGACTGACTAAAAATAATTTTTCATGACCTCACCAGACTCCTGACACAGTCAAATTTTTTCCACAACTGGTAACCTGCACTCCACTTGGCCTCCCAGTACCTCTCTGGAGTCCCACAACTTAACCAAGCTTGGAAAGCCTACTTATTCAGACTGATGGCTTCCTTTACTGCTGGTATTCACCACTGGAAAAATGACCCATTTGGGCTCAATTTCTTCAGCCTTCCTTAGAATGTAAGAGAAGTTCTGTCAGAGATGTTCTCCTGGACAAGGGCATCAGTAAAGCACTTCCAGTACACCCTCACTATATGTTTCAGTGTACCAGGTCTGTTTGGCATCTTCTCCCACCATCTGATAAAACTCACCACTAGATGGTGATCAGTAAAAGGAGGACCTGCTCCTTCCTTCATCCAAGTTTCCAAGATGTGCACAGATCTGATGACACAGCTAAAAAATTGAGCTCTCTAGGGTGTTCTGAAGCCAGGAGTATAGGGTGACCGCATATTTCAAAGAAAACTGATGGAATCAACATTGTTTTAGCAATATGACGCCATATGAGTGGTGATCACTGCAGTGATCATTGTTTCAGAGCACCGCCTGTGTGGGGCCCCTGAGACAATTTTTTTCTTTTGCTCTGAGGGGGCACAATCCAGTACCCCAACCAAGGTCTCCAAGAAGGCTAGATACTCTGAACTGATATTTGGTGCTTAACCACACATAATAGTCAGAGCCCAAACTCCTACTTGAAATGGGATGGAGGCAACTATAGTTAACTGCAACTTACAAGCACAGAACCAGGGCACTATTAGTAAACCCACACCTGCCAGAAGCCCCTCACCCAGGGCAATTCCAAAATGGAATAGATTCCAACCCTTTTCTAGGAATTTGGTTCCACAGACCATGCTGTGTGCTGAGATGAACCTGACTATATATATATATGTTATCTCCCACACAAGGTCCTGGCTTTTGACTGCTTCCTGATCCACATTGCACTGGACTCGATTTTCTGGCTACTACAAAATGTTGCTATGTGGTAGCATTGGCTATTTCTATGGTTCAAGCGCATTGCAGAAGAGTTTCAAAGATAAATCATTACTTAGCTAAACCTAATTGCCAATGGGAGAAGTTTGACATTTGTTTTTATCTCACTTGCTTTCAGAGCCAGTATTTATAGTTTTTCATTTCTTATTTCAGTTTCATTAACAATTATATCCCTGCCTTGTGTACTGTAAGTACATTGTGCCTGCCGCATTGACACTAGAAGTATGAACATTCAGCATCATTGACCATGCACACTTTTACGTGAAGTAGGAATTGGCCCTGAGCTGCGCTTGCGACACAGGGCAGAAACAGCACGACTACTAAAATGTTGGTGGCACTCATTCTTATATAAACACAATTTGCCAATATTGAGGCCAGAAAAAAAAATTATTGAAGTTATGTCCATACACTGTGCAATATGTTGATAATGTAATTTTCATTACAAGCCTACTTATGGTTTCTCCTGCAAGTGGCAGGTGCATAGGATATATATATATATTAGTGCTGTCAATCGATTCAAATTTTTAATCAGATTAATCACAGGGTTGCTATGGATTAATTTAGATTAACCACGATTAAATATCATTCATTTTTAATCTATATTAATCACATTTATTTTGCATGAGCAAACAGACTCAAGAATAAATGAAATATATATGCACTTAACATGTTTATTGAACATCTTGAACATGAGTCTGATGCATTCCATCTGCCACAGAAGTGCAATACCATGGACCCATATCAAAAAGCAAGATTTTTTGATTAGCCGGACAACTTGTTGAATTTAAGGTACCTCAGTTTAAATGGTCTTTATCTTTGTTCGCTTACAATTAGCACGAACTACTGTAAATCCGACAAATAATCCAACTAATCATGAAGTCCAATTCTAGCCCGGTTAATTGCCATTGTTAGCAATATCAGTTGATAACACATTACGTGCGGTGCTTTACGTATAAAACTCCGTAGCAACACGTCCACAGATAAGTTGGACGGTATAATTTATTTTATTTTCTGGTGCAAGTCCCGAGGTGTTCTTCACCCCT